AAGTTGTCAATTCACTCCCACGGGAAGAAGAAAATATCAACTCCCGTGGGAGGTAAATCCTTCATCCTTTCGATATCCCAATAAAATATGTGCAATCCAAGCAATCAGTGTATCCAGATCAGCAATTTGTGCACTATCTTTCCAAGCAGTTTTCCACAACACTGAGAGCACCAATGGTTTCTTTCTTGTTTTTTCATATTCCAGAGTTGGAGTGGCTTCTTGATGTTCCAATTTCAGAGGTGGTGGAAGTTCTCATTAGACTTTTCACTCCCCTTGCAGTTGGAGGCTTGAGTTTTCACAAAGATTTCTGAGAATAACTTGTCATAAACCGGATTCTCAAACCTTTTTTGTGTTAATAGGTTGTCAGACAGTTGAATTTGTTCAACTTTCGATTACATCTGGAATAACTTATGTGAGCTCTCATTAGGCTCAACTGGGTTTCCCTGGCGTATTCACTTGTTGAATTGTTGCATTTTGATAAACCAGACTATTGAGTGACATGTTAGTTAGGTTCTCATTAGACCAACAAAACATTCGCTCCTTAGGGACTTGGTTATTTCTTCCCGAATTCATAATGTTTATCTTCACTAATTTTTCATAATACATTCTTGATTTTCCTTGGACACATGTCATGTCTTGGATGTCATGTCGTGCATGTCAACTTCAAATTTGCCTCCATTAGTTCAGTACGTTCAATGACAATTAAATCAAGGTCCGTCACTCATCAAGTTCACTTCAACACGACATGTCGCAGCGACAATGGCTGCTTAACACAATGTAATCTATATTTTACCCCCTTTTGGGAAACACATTTTAATTTGTTTGTAACGTATTTTACCTCAATGTCGTTTGTTTTAAACTGGACTAGAGATATTTTTGTGGATGAATTTTCCTGTTAACCTGACGAGTAAGTAACCTCACTTTTATCATTTTCCAAATTCATATTTCAGTTTCAAATTTCGATTTTATATAATGTCTTTTTTAAATCAAAAGTTCAACAAAAAGTAACAAGTCATCAATTTATTTTTCAAATTTCACTTTTTCCTTTTTCAAAAAAATCCTAAATATTTTTCAAACATTTTTTAGAAATTTTTTTTTCGAATTTTCAATTTCCGAATAGCTAAAAGCAGTTTACTTACTTACAGGTACGCACTGATGATGACTTAACAGTCGAGAGCGCTCTGCTACAAATATTGAATAAATTATTTTGCACGAAATACAAATCTTCCCTTCTTTGGTCTTTATCACTATACAACAAATGATAGGTAATATCCAAATATTCCGAACGTACTTCTAATCGGAACTTTCAAATGTAGTTACACAATATACAAATCAATTAATTCACGATGACAAAAGTGTCAAATTGACTTGCGTTCAAATGCCGTCAATTGTCCATGGCATACTATACCTTTGTAATGCATACTGGTTTGGATCGAGAGATAGACCGTCTATATTTATCATGAGAGCAAAGGTTCATTTCCTCCCATGTGCGTTTATGCCCTCCGCTACGCGTCGTGTATCAAACTTCACACGTGGGAGGAAATTGATACCTATCCTTCCTTGATATACAGGGTGGGCCACCAGTAACTCCTCGGTGTCTAGAAGGCTAACCACTTATCTTCTTGGAATTCTTCTTCTCTAGGAAGTTGCATGTCAACATAGGCTACTATTTAAAATTATTTCGAAACATACACGGTGTCCCTAAAAACCATAAAACACTGAAGTTAAACTTTTTTCTATCGAACACCCTATATATTATTTCATTTTGAGATTCTCTCTGATGAGCTGATTTCAACGACCCATCATACTTGGGGTCTAGCAGTTATAATTACTGAAATATAGGGTGTGAAAAATCGAGATTTTCCAAGTTCAAGAATTTTTTGTGTCGAAACTATTCATAATTGGTCAAAACGGCTTACATGTCCCTATCTCAACTTTTGATTAACTATCTACTGATATTCAATTGGGACATATACCAAGTGATCAAGATTCTGAATTCTGCACCACCCTGTATTTGTTTCAATTAAATATCAGTAGATAGTTGATCAAAAGTTGAGATAGGGACATGTGAGCCGTTTTGACCAATTATGGATGGTTTAGACACAACAAATTCTTGATCTTGGAAAATCTCGATTTCTCACACCCTATATCTCAGTAATTATAACTGCTAGACCCCAAGTATGATGGATTGTTGAAATCAGCTCACCAGGGAGAATCTCAAAATGAAATAATATATAGAGTGTTCGATTGAAAAAAGTTCAACTTCAGTGTTTTGTGATTTTTGGGGACATCCTGTATGTTTCAAAATAATTTCAAATGGTAGCCTATGTCATCTTGACATGCAACTTCCTAGAGAGGAAGAATTTCAAGAAGATAAGTGGTTAGCCTTCTAGAGACCGAGGCGTTACTGGTGGCCCACCCTGTATACATAGCTATTATTTTCCATTATTTTTCAGTTTGTCTATCTATAAAAGCATGCTCTTCAAGTTCTTACACGATTATTTAGTCACTATTTAGTTATACCAATACCGATAAGCCATGTGTTTCCGAAATCGAAACGATAGATGGATTAGGATGTTTTTGGCCTCGCCGAAATCGAATGTTCGGATTCAGCTGTTAACTTTTAATCTAATCCTAACCATTGATTTACGAATAGTCCATCAGACAACCCTTGAAATTCAATATCTTTCAAAATATTTTAATTTCTCAGAAATGTACTTCAATCTTGTGTTGGAAAAACTCTGTAAATTAGGATATTTGTGAAACAAGGTTTTTTATTTCAGAATAGCAGCTCAGAGTCATTGTACGTTTCAATCAAAGCATTCAAAGAGTTCTGCCCATTCAATGCCAAACATCGAAAAAAAGTGATGCCAATTTTCAATAACAAAATGCAGCGTAGGCGCCAAAGCTACCGGAGCTACGTAAGTTCATTGTGTAATTGAATAAAAATAAAGATGACTTCATGGATTATCTGCTCAAAACATTGTCAACTTGGGATTACAGAAGTCACAATAAATCTCCGGATTATTCTGTAGCACAATTCAGATGATGCCGAAAAATGTAAGACTTTTGAAATTGATTATGTCCGTTGCCAATTCACCACAGAAATGATTTTTGGACTAATTATTGAAATATACATGGTGAGTCATCACTATTGGAACATATAGGCTGAGGACGGATTGTTTGGAGGATTGTTTGGAACAAAATACAGGGTGATTCACATAAGAACCGACATAGAGCAGGGGCATGTAGGAGTTCCCAAAATATGGCAATTCAACGCAACTTACCTCTATACCAAGTTGCTTCCCGAAGGAGTTATAGGCTTTGAAAGTGGAGTTATAAATTTTGAAAAAAATCAATATCTCCGTTGTTCTTGAACTCAAAGCAACCAAATTTGGTACACTTTGTGGATGTATTTAGGGCGTCACTTGACAGTAACTAGAGCTCAATTGAAATTTGTGAAGGGGATATACCGGGTGGCGCACCATTAATATTCAACAGAATTTTGTTAACCCTTGATGCATTTCAAAAATCTTTGCTCTGTTGTGTGGGCAATTCAATTCTTGAATTTTTCTTACTCCAGTAATTTTTCAAAAAACCTCATCATTTTCATCAAAAACTCGAATAACTGAAAACGCGCGCTCTAGGTGTGTTATTTAAAATCATCGAAAATTCAAAAGTTGGCTATGAAAATAAACGTACAACAAGAAAGTAGGTCATTAATTGTGATCAGTAGAAATTGGCTGGCAAATTATTATTTAGATACGTAACAAAATACGTAAAGTAAGATACTGAAATGTGAAAAACTGGGATTAACAACTACCAAAATAAACACAAAACACTTAAACAACAACCAGAACAATCAATTGTTCATTGATAAATTACTTAATTGAACAACTTACTTGCTTCATTGTCAAGTTTGACGTTTATTTTCATAGCCAACGTTTGAATTTTCGATGATTGTAAATAACACACCTAGAGCACGCAAAGATTTTTAAAATCCATCAAGGATTAACAAAATTTTGTTGAATATTAATGGTGTGCCACCCAGTATACCCCCTTTACAAATTTCAATTGAGCTCTAGTTACTGTAAAGTAACGCCCTAAATACATCCACATAGTGTACCAAATTTGGTTGCTTCAAGTTCAAGAATAACGGCGATATTGATTTTTTTCAAAATTTATAACTTCACTTCCAAAGCCTATAACTCCTTAGGGGAGCAACTTGGTATAGAGGTAAGTTGCGTTAAATTGCCATATTTTGGGACCCCCTACATGCCCCTGCTCTATGTCGGTTCTTATGTGAATCACCCTGTATAAGGACAGGACCAAATATGCCTGAAAAAAATGCTGTGGTGTCTGGTGGGTGATGCTGCACTCACTAACTGGGAAATGTTCCCCAGGAGTCTCTGCTACAATTCCATCACAAGCAATACCACTCAGACGAACTCGACAGGCCCAGTCAGCACATCCTGTCGTCGTTAACCTTGAAATATGTCGGTCAACACTCTAACAAAACTCGTTAGTCTCGAAGCTTTGGAATTCTTTGCCGATGGAAGTATCCCAAAAACTTTACCCTCTCCTCCCTAGGAACGCATGATGTTCCATGAACATTCTGGAATAACCTTGCGTGCGCTCCAAGAGATTAAAAAAATATTTTTGAGTAAAGTAATTGTTCAGATAAGTCATCCACGATTCATTTGCTTCATGCTTCCCCGTAGTCATGCCTAACTTAGTTCGTCACTCCCATAGAATCGAATGTGCAATAAATCACAAAAACGGCTACAAAAATAATATAAGATAAATGGTTTCTAATGAATTTCTGTCATTGTAGAGGCGTGTTGATAATAACATTAATGTCTGCTGAAACCTCATGAAGTAAATCCCACATGTTGCAGCAATAATTATCGTTTTTCTTATCATAAGTACATTTTGATTGCTTTTGTAAGGTGACATTGTCTATCGATTCTTTGTAGTTTCTAACAATGAAATTTGAAAACGCAGTAACATTCGAGGGCAAATCAGATTGATTTGGCTTTCCGACAAATAAGCTTAAATAATTCTAATATTTTTAGTTATGGAAACGAGGAAAGGAAATAGCAAATATTTAGAGAAAATGATGAACATTCACTATGAAAATTAAGAAAACCTGGAGATTCCTACAAAAGAAAGAAGGCGCTATTGTTTATGTAGAATAACTTCTATACATATGAATAATCATAATAATAAACGATCTTGTGATAAGAGATTACGTACCTATCACCTATCAAAGATAAGATGAGTATTCACTTGACACTTCAAACCATAGACATTATTCAGTGTCGAATCGTTTTCTTTATGATTCATCTTCTTTGAAAAATGGATGAAAGTGAAACTCCATTAGATGAATTCGAGGTGTTCAAAGATGCTATCAAAGAAGAAGATTTGGAGGTGAGTAATTTGTTTATAATACATTCCACATACCTACTACTCTCCTGTTCTAATCTAATCACATAAGTAATTCAAAGACGAATGAGTTCAATCCTGCCATAGAAAATTAATTCGTCGTGAGTAAATAGAATGTTTGTCTTATTTCTATTTAGGAAAGTTTGTTTATTATATCATACTCTAACCATCACATACTTAACAGTATGATACCATTGTCATCAATTTCGGAGTTCCACAAGGATCAATTTTGGCACCAACATTGTTTCTACTCCATTTCAATGATCTATTGGGACTAACCACTTGCCCTATCCACAGCTTTGCCGATGACAGTACTCTTCTAATTGAAACTCCGTTCTCTTCTTCAATCCCCATTTCATCCCAGGAAAACAAGAACTCATGGCGAAGGCAAGTCAACGCTGTTAATGAAGATCTTGCTAAAATTAGAGCCTGTGGGGAACCAACAACATTGTTGAATTCAACTCCACCAAAAATTAAAGCCTGTATCTTTTCTAGAAAGGCGGAACTCAGTATGCCTGATATATCAATGTCTGATTGCACCATTCCCACAAAGCCCACTATATCTATGCTCGGTATTTCCAACAGCAATATTCTTTCAGGAGAAAATCATTCCAGAACCATGGCGGAAGGTGCCTCACGGAAACGGGATTTTTAATGAAAAATTAAATCAAATATACAGGGAGATCTACGTTTGAGTTATATAAAGTCCCCGACAAATTTTCCAAATGTACCCCCCTATACATTATCTGATTTTTCGAATCTCCATAGGAAGGCGAATTCAAAAATACATAGGGTTTCGATTGAATAGTCTTGTTTCATCGTTTCTGAACGTATTTGCAACTTCTGAAGTGATGAAAAAGTCGATATTATTAGGAAAATGTCACAGCACACCGTTACTGTCAAATAGTATAATCATAGCCTCCTTACCAAATATCGAACGAGGATACCATTTTGTAGGGACATTTTCACAAATAAATTCTCATACGCTCGAAAGTTGACCGAGTTAGGTATGAGGTAAGATACACAAAGAGAGAATAGTATATTACACAACGAGGTGGAAAGAGATTCATTCCTGACGTGAGATCGCGGTTAGCTATGATCTCAAGACAGGATTGAAACTTCCTTCCGAGGTTTGTATACATTTCATTCATAACCATCATATTTCGATCAAAATTGATTAATCTCGATCTGTTTCGTTCTGAACATACCTGAAATATTACACAAGTGAGGGCGAGAAAGTGAGGGCGGGAAGTAGTGAGGGCGGGAAGTCAGGGCGGGGAGTGAGGGCGGGAAGTGAGGGCGGAAAGATGAAGTGTGTAATGTGATACACCCCAACCTTCAATAACGTTAGTAATAACAAGATTACATATATATGGTTGTGAATAAATTAATTTCAGCAGCTTCTCGAATTTTCAATGATATACAGGGTGTTTCATGAAAAGATTCACATAACCAAATGGTTAATAGAGAAAATCAAGACGAGTTGATGTATATAAATAATAGTTATTCATGTATTAAGGGAATTATGAGGGCCTTAATTACCGATGGCAAAGTTTGCGTCCCGAGGGCCTCTGGCCCTAGGGACAGCAATTGCCAGAGGTTATTAAGGCTCTATAATTCCCGTGATACATAGATAATTTTATTTCTGACTGATTTCATTCATTAGATACCTTCCCGATTGAAAGTCAGACATGTTTTTCCGTATAATTTCAATGTCATCAGAACGTCAGAAGATGATCTTGACTACCGCGAATAGGAGATTCCTTATTGCTACGTTATTGCGTGGTTGTTGCTATGCATTTCTTATTTAATTTTAGCTAGAGGGAATTATAGCATCTATAACATCCCAAGGGAGTTATGACCCTCATTATAGATATCGTAACCATGACGATATAAGCTTATAATGTCACTGTCAGAAATAAAAACATTTTTTGACCCTCCATAACGAAGATACAGGGTATTATGTGAAATTGCTATATAACTTTGATGGCCGATATTACAGAAATGATTCATCGTAATCTGCTGAAATTTGGCAGCGACGTATCTCTACTGAAACTATTCAAGATAGCATATTATGAAAGAAAATATCCAGGTCCGGACTTGGGAAAATTTCATGTTTCATTGTTATGTCAAAAAAATTCACTTTGTGACCACTTTTCTCGAAAAATTCCATCAGATTCAGAAAGATCAGACAAAATGCTATAAGAACTGCTCTTCAATTTACCCGGCACACTTTGACCGGTTCAATGTAGGAATATGGAACAAAATCGTTCGAATGAATTTTCAATTTCGACCTGGCTGATAACTCTCAACTTTCAACTGGATTCGTGTAAATCGATTTTTTTGTACATTTTTGTTGGAAAGAAATTGACAGAAGAAAGCAGTTCTGATTTTTTTATGATTTGACATGTTAGTTTTTGACCAAACTTTTAGATAGATATGGCTACTCGTGACTCTATTTTATAAATTTGTTATAAAGTAGGCCCTGTTTATATTTCATGTAACGTGGCGTTTGTTGATAGGTAAACACTAGTAATCGGAATATTTTTGCACTCTAGGTGCCACTTCATATTTCAAATGCTGAACAAGACGAAAATCCAAATGCTATGCTATGTTTGATACCACAGAATATTTCCAGACCCAAAAATACGTTGCAGTAAAACCTTCACGATGATGAACATTAGGAATTTTGAATAAATAGCAAATGAATCTTTATATCACTTGCAGAAGTGTATTAATAACAAAAAATGGAGCTAAGTTTATACGTGAACTAATTTTATAAATCACCATAATATGGGCACATGAATCCTCATGTCGTAATTTCATCAGTTGGTACCTACCTAGTACTAGCCTAGTACCTACCTATCAGTTCGGATCATCAACAAACGTCACGTCTCGTCACAAAAATGGAAAACAGGGCCATCTACATATCTTATCATTACTGCAACTGAAACCCATAAAACAAAGTCAGGAATAATAATATCTATCTGGGAGTGCGATGAAAAAATATCATGTTCTTTCCATATACGTATTAATGAACAATACGGATCATAACGGGTGCCAGGATGAAGCCAAAAATATGAAACAAATGAATATCCATAAGGATTTGGTGGCATGATACGCATGCGCCATGCGCTATTATAGTAGTCATCAAAGACATGCGTTTCGGTGGACAATGACGTTTACTAGCCTTTCAATCAAAGCAGTATGTGTCTGATCGTATCTCACTTTTCCTTATGGATAGTCATTTGTCTTCAAAAATCGGCTTCATGTTTCGCTATGGAAACAGATAGAGATTATCCGTATTGATTATTAATACGTATATGGTTTTTTCTTCTCGTCTATTCTTCTGTGCCATACTATTCAACAAGAATGTAGAAGAAATCAATTCACTTGATAACAGTTGAAAGTTGACAGTTATCAGCCAGGTCGAAATTCAAAATTCATTCGAACGATTTTGTTCCATATTTTTTTATTGAACCGGTCAAAGTGTGCCGTGTAAATTGAAGAGCAGTTCTTATAGCATTTTGTCTGATCTTTCTGAATCTGATGGAAGTTTTCGAGAGAAGTGGTCACAAAGTGAACTTTTTTGACATACCAATAAAACATGAAATTTTCCCAAGTCCGGAACTGAATATTTTTTTTCATATTATGTTATCTTGAATAGTTTCAATAGAGATACGTCGCTTTCAAATTTCAGCAGATAACGATGAATCATTTCTGTAATATCAGCCATCAAAGTTAAATAGCAATTTCACCTGCTTTCCCTGTATCTTCGTTATGTAGGGTCAGAAAATGTTTTCCTTTATATACATCAACTCGCCTTGATTTTCCCTATTAACCATTTGGCTATGTGAGTCTTCTCATGAAACACCCTGTATATGGTTTTCTATTCGAAAGAATCAACTTTCAGCCACTTTTATGAGCAAAAGAAATTACTGTATTTCATTTCCACCCTGTATTAAAGTAACTGATATACAGGGTATTTCGTAATATAAGGTAACCACTTCGATAGGTGATAGGGCGTCTCATGAAAAAAAAAACAAAAGTAAAAGGCCTCGTTCGCGAGATACAAGGCGTTAAAGTTGCAAATATTTATGGAATTTGTTTCGTCTAATTTTCATTTCAAGAACGGTAACACATAGCTATAGAAAATTGTCAAGCAAAGTTGTTGGGAAATTGTTGGAGATTCCAAAAGTAATATCATATATAGGGTGTTCCATTTGAAAAATTGAAGTTGCTAATAAACTTTCCAATAGAAGTGATAACACCGCATTGTTGGGTAGATAATGTCCGAATGTGCCTCCCATCAAATTTTCAAAGTGATCCGTTGTCTGGTTCACCAGAAACGTCTTAATGTGCCATTCATCGTGAATCTGAAGGCTTTATGAAAAATATTATATGAAACAAAACTCGATTTACCAAGCAATGGTAAAACCAATGGCCACGTATGGCTCGGTAGTCTGGTGAACTGAAGGTCTGCAGGGGACAGCCAGAGCAAAGCTCGCTGGTCTTCAGCGGGTGGCATGCCTGGCCATTATAGGGGCGATGTCCTCCACTCCAACGGCGGCGATGTAAAACCTCCTGAACCTCACTCTAACACCACATTGTCTTGGTAAATCAAATTAGAAGAGGGCGCCTGCTGGGCTACTCCAAGATACTGATGTGTGAAATTAAAAATGACCAAACTCTAGGATTGATTTCTGACATGGTGGCTACTCAGACACACGTAAAAAAGTTTCTTCCCCAAGAGAGACCGAACACGTAATGTAGGTACACAGATGGTTAAAAAAAACCGCTTGGAATTGGAACCGGTGTGCTCAGCAGAAAATCGAAGACAGAGATCTCAGTCGATCTCAGTGAGTATGCTACAATTTTTCAGACAGAGGTCTTCGCAATTGAATTGTGTGCTAGAGAGTTGACGAATATGTGGTGAACAAAAACATCAGTATTGTATCAGACAGTTAGGCTGCTCTTAAAGCACTGAGCTCCAGCAAGATAATCTTCAAGCTCGTATGGAATTGTATTGAATCCCCAGAATGCCTAAGTGCTGACAACAGGATTACTTTGCTGTGGGTGCCTGGACACCTGAGGGTGGAGGAAACGAGAAAGCCGACATCCTCGCCAAACAGGGAACCGATTGTGGGTTCATAGGACCAAAACCATACTTTGGGGTCACCGCAAGTGCTGCCAAACCTCACGTACTGGTCTGAATTACCAGGATTAACCCATTTGAAGGCGTTCCTGCCTTAACCATGAGAAAATATAACCAGATAGATCCTAGCAGGGGTAACCTGTGAATTCTGACGGGACCACCTAGGAAGGATGGGTCTGAAATATTTGGCTCAACCAATTTCAGACAAATCTTCATTCAACCATGGACTTTAAAAATAGAAGTGGATTGTACAGTGAACTGTAACCTTTAAGGGTGAGCAACAATAGAACAATCTGGGATAGCAGTGGAGGGGCGTTATTCGCCCCACTCACATGGAACCGTACCTATCCTAACCTACGAAAAGACAAAACATGTTTTAGCACAGCCCAGGTGAATTTCAGAAATTACCTACAACAAGGATTATGAATAGTTCTGTGAACTCTTCATAAGATGATTTCAGTCCATTTTGAAATGAATATTTGCTACCTGACTGGACTCGCAAATCTCTAATTCTAGTAATGATGGGGGAACTTATTGGAATTATTTTTTATATCACCACTAGCGGAGACTGACTCTTGTCGGTTTTGCTACAACTCGACCGAAACGCGGAATACAAAGTTTGTAATGTATCAGTCCCCCAATGGCTGAATCACCTATAGAACAGATCTATCTGACGCCTACTGAGGTGAAAAATGCAACCATCAGAAAAAGTCTAGGCATCATTAGAAGTAGGGGTTAGAGGACTAAAACTAGACTAGGTCACACTGATCGGAATGCCTCTCAACCTATATAGGACCCGCCTACAATAAACAATATACTATATATAAGCTCTGATGATGTGTGAAGAGTGGTTCTTGGTGACACTAGCTTTCAGGAAGATTGATAACTTGCGCAAGAAGCTCCAGCAACGATCCCAAAATCAACTCAATGCTGCATATTTTTTGTTTGACCGAAATACCTAACCAACCAATGAACTGAGTGAATTTGAATTACAGGTACAAATCAAGATGATGAAACAACTCGGCTCGCTTGCTAAGCACTTGGGCGAAGAGCTCACCAGAGACGAACTAATCCCTTTCATCCAAGAAAATATCGATTTTCACGACGAAATCCTATTGAATCTATCCGAACAACTGGAACAATTCATCCCCCTAGTAGGAGGCTACGAGCACTCGCAATCCGTACTGGACCTACTGAGGAAGCTGTGCCATACTGACGAGGAAATCGTCATAAATAAGACCGTGGAAACGATGAAGACCATAGCGCTAGGGTTGAATAGTGACCTCACGGAGAAACTATTCGTTCCTATGGTGGAGGCTATGGCAAGCGAGGATTTGTTCACGAGTAAATGTTCAGCAGCTGCCTTAATTCCAGTGAGTTTATATTGATATTCTATACGTCTAGTGTATATACTTCAGTCCGGGGCCATCGTTAACCTATCGGAGGTCCTGGGTACATTAGGATAATAGGGCCCCTATGACCTTGATAGAGCACTATTTTGTTAAAACAGACAAAGGAAGTAGATAGGCAAAGTTCTAAATTCCATATCTAATCTATCTAAATTCCATATAAAAAGCTATGTTCATTGGAGGGGTACCCTTCTAGATTGGAAAAGGGGCAAAATCGTTAATAACTCTTTCAATATCTTTGTTTTTCAGCATATCAAATTCTATGGACATCAGCAACAAACTAGTAAATCTCTCTTGAAGCCTGTCACTTCTTTATCCATTTTTTATTCTTCTCAATTTGGAGAAGGGTCGTTCTCCAAAGTCAGTTGAACCACGTACCTCGGGAAAAAACATACACAAAAAAAGAAAACACAAAAAACAAAAAACCCAGAGCGGTGTCGCTTCGTTCAAAGTTTTCTTTGAGGTCCAAACAGGTGGTGGACGTTCCTTGATTGAGGCCCTCCAACTGACTTTGGATAGATAGACCTTACCATCAAGTTTAAAATAATTCTTTGGTTACCACTATTGACAAATTTCTAGTATATACTCTGTTGAGTGCAGACATCACATTTCCAACTCTTTCTCGTTGACGTCTTCATCTGAGGTCTATACCTTTGAACGCTGTAATTTATTCAAGGGATTATCTTCTTTAATTCTTATCAAGAATGAGGCAAGTCGTCCATATATAAAGTAGGTAGTTTCAACTTTGGTTCCTGGACTAACATCATTTTTATGATGGATCCATATATAAAAGATTATGTCGTTGAAAAACTTGAAGCGTATGAGATTGAAACATTTCAGGAAGTGGAACAACTGAGGAAGTGAAACAAGTATTGGAAATTAATAGAATTAGTCCAAATTTCAAAATTGTAAATAGCAATATACGTAGTTTAGATTATAATCGACATGAATTAATAGTATTTCTTGAAAGCTTAGAGAGCAGTATTGACTGCATAGTTTTAACCGAAACGAGACAGTTACCTGATATTGATGCATTCAATATTGAGGGATACAGAACGGTGTATACCCTAATATATTATAGCGATAAAAATTTCGAAAGGCTTATTCAAAACATCAATCAGGATTTGAATTCATTGCATGTGAAGTTTGTGGCAAATAAGTTGAAGGTAAACGAGAATAAAACAAAATGTATGTTTGTTGGAAGTGAAATAGCTCACAAAAAATTTCTTAGTATGAATCTGCAAATAAAATTGAACAACGTAAATATCGAATATGTAGATGAAATAAAATACCTTGGCCTCATTATAGATAGACAATTGAAGTTCCACAAACACGTTCAATATACTTCGAAAAAAATTGGTAAAAAGTTAGGAGTGTTTTATAGGATAAGTAAGCATCTTTCCATGGAAACGAAATCTACCCTCTATAATTCGATTATATGGCCTCATTTCAATTATTGTAGCTCCATAATTTATACATCTGGTGTCAATCTAGATAGACTGCAGAATCACGCTATGAGAATAATTATTGGATGCGACAGGTATACTAGTATAGAGAGTATGCTCGATAAACTCAACTGGTTGAACTTGGAGGATACATATTACAAAAATACTATGATCTTCATTCACAAAATGGTTAATAAAATATTGCCTCAGTACTTGTTTTCACATCTAGTTAAAGTTTCCGATGTACATGCATATAACACCAGATCTAGAGACAACTATTATGTGAACTCTGTGTCAAAAAATTGTACGATGAATAGTCTGTTCTACCGTGGTATAATTGAATATAATGCGTTACCTGACGATATCAAGAATATACCTATTATAATAAAGTTCAAATCATCTCTCATCAAACGTATAAATGATAGAAAAACCTATACAAAATGACCTCATTCTTGAAATTATTTTGTCCATCATATTGTCGTCTTAATAGGAGTGACCAAATTTTGATCAAATTTTGAAATCAGTATGATCATCTATTCAGTATATCTATTCATTAATTGATCATATTTATTATATGATAATTATAATATTAATTTCATTACCTTTCTGTTTGTTATCTTCACAAGGTTCCTGTAATATTTCCCGAGATATTTCCTTCATATGTATGTATTATCTTCATGATAAATAAAATCCTATCTATCTATCTATCTATCTATAATTATGGCAGCTACAATCAAAATGACGGAGTAGTATTATCCATCAAATCTGAAATGTATGTCTCTCACCAACTAATAGAATTGAATAAGAGTAAATTCATTAGAATAATAGAATAGAATAGAATATAATTTATTTGACCAAGTTACAATTCTTATGTTTTTGGCAAGTCACTGGAAGTACAAAATGTTTTTCAAAAACAATTACAGAATAAAATAAAATATATACCTAAGCTATAAACAAACATACAACATTCTCACAAATCTAACAAATTCAAAATATAAATTTTGCTGTTTTCGAAATGTAATCAACACAATTTATCGAGAAGACTGAAACGAAACTGCGAAAATAACATCTTCATAATAAATTATTTTTATAGATCACCTGCTAGTGATGTGAACACGTTTATCGATGAGTTGAATGCCATATTAGAAGACGATAACGAAAAATGTGACTATAAGTTTTTCGTAGGGAATATCAATATTAACATATTAGAAGAAACTAAGGAAACAAAAAGCTATCTTGATGTCATGAGCTATTAACACTTCCACTAGAGTACAAAATCACTCACAAACATGCCTGGATCATATATTTGTTCATACAAATAACTATGATACCATATTATCTTTAGCAATTTCCACATCTATAACTGATCATCATACTGCAACTCCTTCTAGATACTAAAATAAAAAGAAATGATAATAACAATTATAATAATAAATATATTGAGCACATTGATAACAAAAATGATAATAACAATCATAATAATAAATATATTGAGCACATTGATAACAAAAAACTATTGACAAATATTCAATCCGCCCCCATGAATGACATCATACTAGAATTAGATTTTGATACGGAAACAAACAAATTAATGAATATTATACAGAAAGCAATACAACAATCTACAGTTCATGTAAGGATGTAAAATAGTTATAAAAAATAAAACCTTCGATTACTTCCTCGCTTGTCAAATCTGTTAACAGAAAAAACAATTTGTATGTTGAATTCAAAAAAAAATCCTTACAATAATATTGACAAAATGGAATATTTGGATAGTAAAAGTGCAACAGAAAAATTGATAAAGAAAGCAAAAAGACATTATTATAACAAAAAGGTGGAAAAAGAGAAAAATTCGTCGATAAAGTTATGGAAACTAGTCAACGAGGTTGTTTCCAAAAGTGGAAACGGAAAGATTGAGATTATCAAAGTCCATAACCAATTAATCAGTGACAAATAAGAAATGACAAACATATTCAATAAATATTTTATCGATGTTGGTGAAAATTTAGCAAATAGAATCAATCGACCCCATAACTATAAAGAGAAGAAGACTGTAAGTTGCCACTCGTTATTTCTATATCCAGCAACTGAAAGTGAGGTGAGACAAATTATTAAATATGACCTGAAACCCAAAAAAGCCCCTGGGTATGACAAAATCAGTTCTGAAACGCTGAATGTTATAGTGGATTATATAAGTCTTCCCCTTACTGAAATAATCAACAACAGGGAAATTTCGAGAAGCGTTAAAAATAGTATCGAATTACCAATGTTCAAAGCTGGAGATATATATGATGTGGTATATTACAGACCAATTTCACTGATAAAAAGCTTGGCTGAAGTATTAAAAAAGATTGTGAAAGTTAGAGTAAACAAATTCCTGGAGAAATATCATTTACTTTCAAACTCTCAATTCGGATTCAGAAACCACAAGTCAACTCAAGATGCAATACATTCATTAGCGAACACTATCTACGAATGCATAGATGAGGGAGAACCAGTATTTCTTGACTTAGCAAAGGCCTTCGACACCGTCCACCATTCCATCCTACTGGAAACCTTGGAGGACATGGGAATAAGAGGTCCAGCAAATAGTTTTTTCAAGAGTTATTTGAGAAACCGAAAACAACAGGTCATAATAAATGAAAAAATTAGCGAAGCAAAGGGAGTAACATGTGGTGTGCCTCAAGGGACGGTGTTGGGTCCTCTGTTATTCACTATTTATATAAATAACATATTTTTATAAGAGGAAGAGGGTCAAATAATAAGCTGTGCCGATGATACTGTGGTTATCTATAAAGAAAAAAACTGGTACAATTTGAAAATCAAAATTGAAAGCGATTTCGCCGAAATTAAAACCTGGTTAGACTACAGATTATCATCGTTGAATTAAAAAAAAAAAACGGTCTACTTACCTTTCGGTAGCCTTGAGGCAGATCTCCCAAACTATGATATTACCATACAAAATTCTTTCGCAATAATATCAGCAAATGAAATTAAATATTTTGGAATGATGTTGGATCGTTCTGGATCGTTCTTTCAGATGGAAAAAACTCATGTGGACAACTTATCAAAAAAATTGAGAAGTATTTTATATAAATATAAGAGTATTATTGAATTGTTGAATAAAAAAAAAAGAATAATAGTTTCTCAGAGTCTGGTTGAATGATACCTGAGTTATGGAATCATTGGTTGGGGAAGTGTTTCAAGAGCATACTATAATGCAATACAGGTCTCGCAAAATGAATTCTTGAAATTACTTCTGATGAACAAACACCATAGGTATCACACTGATCAGCTTTTTGCCGAAGCGAAAGTATTAGATATTCGACATATATATCATTTGCACATCAATATGAGACAATACCTGAACAGAGGTGGATAACCAAAGTATTTCACACCCATCATGAACAAATACATCGGACAGAGAAGTTACCTGTACTCAAGGACTAAATTATATATGAGACGCCACCTGCCCCAATAATTTCAATCTAAATAGGGCTAAATAAGCGCCTTATTAGTTCAAATATCAACTCCGGACATATGTTAATAGGAACTTTTCATCCTGAAATTACCTAACGAATCACCATGCACCTGCAGTTAGGAACCGTAGTTGGGAAACACCCTGTATAATGAATAGATCAAGAAGAGAGATACATGAATTAATTGACAATGTTTGAATGGAAAAGAACTGATTTCATGTTTTGATTTGATTGTGATGCCATAGTTATGCAATGATGATTCGGTTCTGTAACCTGAAATTACTTCTCATCTTTTATTTTCTTTTTTGGTAATAAATATTTGCTGAATTAGTTAAGTTAGGTTAAGTACTGATTTCTATTTATATATTTTTTCTATTACTATTTATTTTTTATTGCGTCACCACGTACAAACTATTGCCCAGATAGTTTCTATGGTTCTATATGTGTTTATTGAAGTGTTCCGAATGTTTACTAACTTGTAGTTTGTATTTACCATATTTATATCCATAAACATATCACCATAATTTTGTATGTTTTTCAGACAATCTATTCCAAAGTCAAAGAAGAGACGAAAATTGAACTCCGCCACAGTTTTCGTGTCTTGGTCCAAGATGAGTCACCTATCGTGAGGAAAAAAGCAGCTTCAATATTGGTCGACCTGATCTTTTTATTGGAAAAAGATTGCCTGAGGGACGAATTTATTCCTGTATTCGACAATATTTCCAAAGATTCCATGGTAAATATGAATTCTGAATCAGCAATAGTTCCAAGAGAAAACAAAATATTCTAATAATAATCCCGAATGCAATAGAAAATATTCCATAATAGTCCATGAATGTTCTCTCGAAATAATCCAAGTACACAATAGAACATCATTTATTATACAGGATATGTCACAACGAGCTTACACTATCTCTATATCGAGAATCAGTTGGGAGGAATCCATGAAAATATGCATGCTCATATTTTAGAATACGCTCTCTTCATTTAAAATATTTTCAGCAATGCAGTGTTGCCGCTTCTATAAAAAAGTAGCAACAACTTCGTTATTCCAATGTGAATACCCTATATTTTATTGCATTTTCAGATTTTCCCTGAAGAGTTGAAAATTTACAGATATCTCAACGAAAATCATAATCTCCGACCCCAAAACCCCTATATACCGATTTCTGATAAAATCGGATTATAAGTAGAAAAGTTGCTCGCCATATTGGATTCGCCATCTTGAATTTCCCAATTTTTGACGAGAGAATCATAATCTCTGTCCTCGAAATCCTACAAATACAAATTTTAAATAGAATCGCATCATAATAATCACAAAACTCCTCTGCCTTGGATCCGCCATCCCAAATTCTCCAATTTTGGTGAAAGAATCATAATTTTCGACCCCATTAACCCCTAGATACAGATTTTGAATAAAATCGGATCATAATTACAAAACTCGTCCACCATATTGGATCCGCCATCTTAAATTTCCTAATTTTGACGAAACAGTCATGATGTCCGACCTCAAAAACCCTTAGATACCAATTTTGAATAGAATAGGATCATTATTACAAAACTCGTCTGCCATATTTGATACGCCATCTTGAATTTTCAATTTGAAAAATAGGTTTACGACCGATTCTCAAAACTACCAAATATGCATATAAGAATCGGTCCAACCGTTTCGGAAGAGTTTGGCAAAAAACTCTGTGACACGAGTATTTAATTTATCAGGAGATTATAATGCAGAAACCAGAAGTATTATACTTACCTACATTATAAATTCAATAAATATGCATTGTCGATACTTGAATATTATTTTGATTACAGGATTTTGTTAGAACCATGTTGATGAGAATAGCTATTGCCCTATGTAAAAATCTGACAGAGAGTGAAATTGAAGAATTCGTTTTCGCAACTGTGGAGTCTTGTGCTGGTAAGTTATGTAAATCAATGAATATATTCTTCAAAATGTTTCAATACATTCCTAAAGTGGGAGATGATCATGAATAGAATAAAAATTTGACAACATCACACAGCATATTTTCAGCGCCCTATCTCACGTAGAAATTGTTATTTGATCCTTGGCTATGAATGTGTGGGTCTATTTATTGTTATTTTTCTACCACTTCATAAGTCCCGATTCAATCAGATTGACCTTATCAATTGAAAACAAAACAACAAAATTGAGGAGAACCATTCCACTAGAAAACTCAATGTTTCGTCGACCTCAAAAAAGAATCACATTTTACGTTTTAATTTTCGAACGAAAAACCCACTATTTCCGCAGGCAAGTACTTTTCGTCCGTCAACACTTTTCGTCCGCTGCAGGGTTGCCAGTTCTACTGAATTTTCAGTATTGTATTTATTTACAATTTCATTCCACTTTGAGTATTGTGGCTATTTCGTAGTTGAAATTAATTATTCACGAAATCCGATAGATTTTACGTGTGAATAGGACCGTGATATGGATAAAAGTGTTTGAGGTCGACGAAAAAGTTTTTTATGCACCTCGGCGAAAAGCTTGCTATATTGTCTCTCCTAATTGCTAGCCTCGGCTAACGCCTCGGCTGTCAATTTGCAGACTGGACTATAATAGACAGTATTCAGTCCTTGGTACATAAATAACTATTTCATCAATTGATATTTATATGAGAATATTGCTAGTTACCGAATAATAACACAATTTCCCAGTCAACGATTTTTCAATTGAAAAATGAACGAAATAGAAATCATTATCTAACTGAAATAAAGCTATCGTCATGAATAAACATGTGTGGAGAAAATAGTATATTGTTTAACGAGCACGGAATAATAGTGATTTCCCACGAGAATGAAGTTTGCAGCATGAGCTGTAGACGAATGCTGCATGCTCATTCGAGTGGGAAATTAGAATTCCGTGCAAGTTATTCACTATAATTTTTCTACGGCTGTAACAGATAACAGCAGCATTTTTGATTGCTTCGTCTTGTAGCCATCTGATTAACTCTCACGTAATGCTCATCTATTAGTTAGGCAGAGCTGTCATTTGCTGAAATTTGACATTCCATGAGCATCAATCCATGAGCGATGAGATTTTTCGAAATAATAACATAATGGAGTCATTGTGATATCAGATACGGAAATAAAATTGATGACATACAAAGTACCCCATTGATGTGTCGAACACAGTAAAACAAGAGCCATTTTTTGTTATAGTCGTACAAAAAAATAATTTCAATTTTGAGAATTTTATTGGAGCCCATTAAGTCGTAATCAATAGGAGGTTGGTGTTCATGAATATAAACTGAAATTTTGATATGATTCATGTTAGATAAACCACTTCAACATTTTGTCTGTCAATCAAATTCAGATCCCCAGGAACTGGTACAGGGTTTCTAAAAATGATAGCATTATAGTGGCAATTGAAATAGTGCCGCTCTATGTTAATGTTGTTTACAGGCATTGAAGCTACCGAATGTGTTATAGCTCGATGTCTATAAATGGGAAGCAGCAAATCAAATGAAATATTTCAACACTACGATGCTACGATCATTTATAGAGACCCTATATTTTCTGAACTGAAGATCCGCGATAAAAGTCCTTATATATATTCTCAATTAATTCAATAAAACACTTGATTCAATTGATTGAATCTAATGTAAATAACACAGCCAATCAGTATAGAAACAGGATTGCATCTTCATATTCACGTCTCTCTTTCTCCTTAGTAAAACTGTAAGCTATTGTCCAGCTTAAAGTCAATGTGACTGATTTGTTTATTTTTATTCAGATGATACCTCATGGAACATTCGACTAATGTTAGCACACCACATAGGAGAGGTTCAAGAAAATATACCCTTCGGAAAAATGAGGGGGAAAATTCTAGCAATGTACCAAAAACTAATCAATGACATACAAGATGAAGTAAGAGTTGAAGCGGTGAATAACTTATCTTCCTACTGCCAGAACCTGAAGAAATCTTACGAAACGACGAATTCAGTGAACAATAATTTCGAAGCTGTTTTCCAGCAAAGTATAGTACCACACCTAAAGCGGCTAGCTAACGATCCCAATGAAAACGTAAGGCTAGCATTTTCAACTAATATTATCGCCATAAGTTCGATAGTGGGAGAAAATTGTTTCAAGGAAGATATCATGCCTATCATAGAACACATTTTAGAACAAGATTCCTGCATGGACATACAAGAGAATATCCTTCAACGTCTCCACAGCCTTCCTGCTTACGTAGATCTCACAGAATCGTCATTATCTATCAAGATAGTCGTGAGAAAACTGATTTTCAATTCTCATGCTAAGTGGAGGACGAGGAGAAGTCTGCTTGTAGCGTTTTTGCATATCGCGAATACTGCTACGGGAGCATATTTTTCAGACAATTTGAAGATGTTCTATGCGACGTTATTAGGTGACCCTGTTTTCGCTGTTAGAAGAACAGCTCCTGTCATTCTACCACTTTTGGCGAAGCAATATGGTATCGAATGGGCCACTGATTACATTTTACCATTTTTCAGAATGTTCGTCAAAGACTGTAGGTATTTGTACAGGTATATACCACTATTTGGTATAAATGAACTCATGAATCCTTCAGTCAGACTAGGGCAGAAAGAAACGTACTTGAATGATTTGAGGCATATAATACAAACGAGTAATGATGACGCTGATAAAAAAAAGGTAGCAGCAATTTTGACAAGAATCGCGAGAATGATTGATACTTTGAAGTATAAATTAGAAGACACTATTTACAGAGATATACTTACACTGAACGAAAGCATAGACGATTTCACTAGCGATAATATTATGCTATATGCTGATGAATGTGTGACTACTATCAAAACAAATTGTAACTGCAATATTTTTGCCATTGAGAACAAATCGATGCTTGATCAACGCATTTATTTGGATGGATTGTTAGCTGTGATAATCATTGAATACTTGCAAATAATCCGTGAACTCTTCGATGATCCAATAGTCAATGTACAAATTCGATCAATACATGCCCTCAACAAAATCAAAGAATTCACTAGTAAAATTGATGATGAGTTGAAAGAAACATGGGTGAGTGAAGCAGTGGATGTATTAACAGCAGAAGAAAAGGAACAGATTGAAAAACTAGTGGATTCTGAGATGGACGAAAGACCAAAAATGATTTCAAAAGAGGACATAGATACTCAATTAATGGAAGATGATAGAATTGATAACAATTTTGAAGATTCACCTGATGATAAAACAGATTTGCATGATAGAAAGATACCTGAAATAAAAGTGGAGGCAGTTGATGACCAAGTCAGCATTGTTGATGAGACAGAGATTATCAATTCAAAAGAGGAAAATGGATCGTTGGAGTTGATTGAAAAGCCACAATTTGAAATTTCGAAAGCCCATGCAGACGAAATATGGAATTCAGCATTGAAAGCATGAATAAACTTTTTTGTATATAAAGTAATATAAGCTGTTTTATAGATTATCATGATATTATCAATACGATTTCCCTATATGTGTCCATATAAGAGTGTTCTCACAATTGATCCTTTCTGAATTCATTTACTTACCTACTCATTGAAATTTCTTCTCTACAAGTTGGAATGATTATATTCTGATAGAATATCTCGGATATTTGCATTCAAAAATTCATCATATCTGGCCTCGAATGCATTTTTATGAAAGGAAAAATTTTCAAAATTCATGTTCATAGATGGAAAGATGGATTGTTCATTGATCATAGAATACCAATAACAAACTGAATTGATAAAACTCAAGGAAATGCGGAATTCAAACTATAAAATTTTGACATTCATACACAATAAAATGTGGGTATATCTGCTGATCTCAAAAATGGAGCTAATGTGAACAGAAATAAAAAAAATTGACATTTGAAAAAATATGGTCCACCGTATCATGAAGATTCTTCCCACATACATACATAGGCTCGAGTCAAAAGTAGTTATTTGTCGTGTATGGTAATCATGATAATCATTAAAAATCTTGAGATTGTTTCCAATTCCCTATACAAATGTATATAGATATAGATAAGCAACATATACGAATGAATTCTAGTGTACGTCAATAGGTTTTGTCTCTGAACAAGTCTATGCAAAAATCTCGAGGATATTGAAGGCGACAAATTATTTTTTTTATCTCCATTGTACTTCAAAGTGGAGGGGTATAGTTCATTTACAAGAAAACTCAGACTCATCTCCGCAGCTTCTGTATTCAAAGATCGGTCATAAAGTTACATGTTTCGGGCTTATAAGCCCATCATCAGTCAAATGAAATGGTAATAGTTATGAAAAAAATAAAAAATTCAACTACTTAATGTAGACAAAAATGAGCAACACCTAGATTGATTGTCTATATATTATGATGAATTTATGAAATTATTGAAAAGGAATATCCAGATATATAATGAACATGAAAAAATGGATACATACAGGGTGACCCAGGGGTGCGTGCTTGGTCCGTAACTTTTTTTCTATCCAAGCTATCGACTTGATTTTTTTTTTCAAACGATAGGTCCGACAACGAAGCACATTCTGAAAATATTTATATATATATACAGGATGTACCAAGATAAAATACATAACTAAGTTCTGTTTTTTAAATAGCAAACACCCATTTTTGTTACATTTTTGGATTCGCTACTAAATTGTCGATATAACGCACCCGGGTTTCATAGACTTATCTGCAATTGTTTTTGACTTATGTCAATTTATATGTCAAAATAGCTTCGTGCATGGACCCACAAAAAAATTCATAACTTCAGAACCATGCAAGATAACTCAACCAAATTTTTTCCAGTCGATTCCTCAAGCTTCAGCAAATCTTTTGGAACGCAAGCGAACTCGAAGACGATGTTCCATCGCCTACTACGTTTTTTTTTAAATGACAAATTTCAAATGGCAATAACTCGACTTTTTGAAATGTTATGTATTTAATCTTGGGACATCCTGTATATAAATGAAAATATTTTCAGAATGTGCTTCATTGTCGGACCTATCGTTTGAAAAAAAAATCAAGTCGATAGCTTGGATAGAAGAAAAGTTATGGACCAAGCACGCACCCCTGGGTCACCCTGTATATATGAAGAACTACATTGAGAATTCGCATTTTCTATGTGATGAAAATATTAATTTACTACTTATCTGGCTTTATGCCACGACGAACATGGAATCAAATTTATTTAACATACACGATAAGAATTTGAAAATAAAATCTTCTGATGGAGTTCAGAATTTGCATCCTCCTTCAGATAAAAATATAATCGCATTTAATATCATTCTGAATATTCAACAGAAAACAACTACTTTCCTGGCTATTTGCCACATCAAACATCTAAAAGAAGAACATGAAAATAAGAATCCTCTGAAGTTGAGAATTGACATTCTCTTTGAAAATCGGATGAATATAATATGATGTATAATGATATAAAAATATAACTGACCAATATATTCAGTATTGAAATGAGAATTGAGATGTATAGGAGATGTATTCTTGTATATACTCTGATCTTGATGAGCTTGAAACTACCAAAAATCATTGGTATCAGTGATATGGGAATTTTATCACTTGTTATTTTTATAGACCTCTAATCGCAGATTCGTGATTGAGTTTTCTCAATTCAGAATTTCTTCCCACGTTCTGATTGATGAATATAAATTTGTCGCACATATAACAAAGTTATGAAACTTTTTTTTGTAAATTTTACATTTAGAAAAAGGAAATAATACTAGAAGTTACTACATCACTCCACTTTGTGATACTATGGACTCCAACAAAAGATCAAACTGAAACTTAAAAAATAACCTGTACATGTGTGATGACACTGAAAAGTGTATAAGTTGATTTTGATACAACAAAACTTCTGAACTCCTTCATACATTATTTATAGTGGAGAACTGCATACCATAGCAAAAGCAATAAGATTATCTGCTAGTTTAGACAAGAATAGAGTAGTGATTTTCACATATTCCATGAGTTCCTTGAAAGGAATACAACAACTTTACCCTAACCATCCTATCCAAAATACAGCAATCAGGCTTGCTATTGGAGCATACCGTACCAGCCCTGTAGTGAGTCTTCAAGCAGAAGCAGAAGAACCTCCTTTTGAAATTCTAAGAGAATACCTCACCCTTACCTATGCCCTAGAGTATCGGCTAACCAAAAGAATCCCACATATAGCCAAATTTTTCCAAACAACCCTAGAGAAGGGTTTGATGAAACTCTCTGTCGTTTTCCTACAATTCACTAGCGAGTGAAAACGAAAAGATTCAACGTCCCGATCACTACACCTATATCCTATAAAATCCCACCGCCTTGGACAATACGCATTCCACCATGCAATACCAACCTAGCCCTTCTCCCAAAGGCATCAACTCCAGATTCAATATATCTACAAACATTCCGCGAATTGGTGACAAAATATGGAGGTCACAAAATAATTTTTACAGATGCCTCGAAGTCCCAAGATGATGGAAATGTGGGTGCCGCTGTGGTTGTATAGCTAACACCTCCATTCATATAGCTACCGACTCCCTCCTTCGTACACTATTTATAGTGGAGAACTGCATGTCATAGCAAAAGCAATAAGATTATCTGCTAGTTTATACGAGAATAGAATAGTGATTTTCACAAATTCCATGAGTTCCTTGAAAGGAATACAACAACTTTACCCTAACCATCCTATCCTGAAACAAATCAAAAGAGAACTGTATCACTTGTTCACCCTAAATAAAACGATAGAACTGGTATGGATTCCCTCGCATATTGGCATAGATGGGAACCAAAAACCGGATCAAGCTGCGGAAGTTGCTTCAACGGATCCATCCCTCCATATTGCTGCTGACAGCCCGTACATGGACATCAAACCTCAAAACTGTAGTATAAAGGGCTTTCACGCTGGGCTGATAGTTGCGCAATACTTGGTAACAATGTCGTGTCAAAACTGCACATCGAAAAATTCTAGTAACTTTCGAAATGGGCGAACCACGTTATCGATTTAAGTTGGCAAAACTGTACACCGATGCCAGATTTATTTCACATTTCTAGAAGCGATTTGTTGTGATCAGCTGATCTCTGGGAATTATTCACTAACAATTTGTACTTTCAAGGAATTGTTTGTGATTTATTTGTGGAAAATAGATGGTGGTATCATTGATACAATATTTCGAAAATGAACGTGATAACGATGGCCCATTACTTCCAATGACTGCTGTGAGAGATGTAAGTTGAATGATGGTATTAATAATGATATTATAATAATGATAAAAAAATTGACTTATTCAAGATTCAATAAAACACATATGACAATTTTCACACAGAAATTACTCTGTCAGTGAAATATGTGTGTTTCATTAAAATTTGTGTAAATGTGATCTTTTTTGTAGTTTTTCAATCACTATAGATTTTTTTCAAGTAAGAGCCAAGGAGATTTGAAATATAAAAATATTCTATAGGGCTAAAATATTCTTTGATTTCTAGGAACAAGCCACCCCCTGTTTTTATGGCAGACACTATTGCAGAACAGTATGGTCATCAGGTACTGAGACTTCCACCATACCACTGTATTTTCAACCCAATTGAAATGATATGGGGGATCACCAAAACTTATTATAGAGATCATGCTGTTAGCCAGCATGGGAGTTCTGTGGTGAAATCTCTGGATATGTGGAAAGAGTCTCTGGGGCAAGTTACTCCAGACATATGGGCCAATAGTGTTCGCCATACTGAACAAATAATTCAAAGTTGGTGGGAGAGAGAAAATATTTTGGATTTACAAGATATTCCACGAGTGATTATAAATGTAGGAGAGGATGATTCTGATGATAGTGAGAATGATTTTGATGACAGTGAAGAAGATTAAATGACATTTGAATTTTTTTAGTGTGCTATATATTTCATAATTTCCAATATGAGTAGATGCACCACTATTTATTTTCCCACGAAAAAAAAATCAATTGATTGAATTTCTTTTTCATTTCACCAATTTGAAATTGAAGAACATTCAAAACGGTTAGATAACCTCAAAATTGAATTCGAAGTTTATATTATTTTCACTCAGTAAATGTGAATACTGATCAGTTCTATTGAAAAAATGAATTCAAGACATAATTGTGTATTGGTAGAAAAATAAGTTATTTTTAATGTCAATATCTGTGATTGTTTGTTGATGTTGTTATATAATGAATCATTCTTCAAGTTATTTTTCTTTATAAGAATTTCATTATCATCAAATTTCATATTCAATATATTGTTTAAGTTCATGGTTCATTAAATGAAAATTTTGAAGTTCATTCATCAATTTCAAGTGCTGATTTTGAAACATAAATGGACGGCTTTTGGGTTGGTTCCAAAAAACATTATAACATCCGACGATCGTAACACAAGACATATCCATATTCGGGCGGTTGGTCATTCAGTCATTTTCTTTCAACTGGCAACACTGTATGTGTTGACATATTGACGTCACTGGACGTCACTATAAACCCTGTGTGAAAGCCCTTTAACAAAAAAACTTTGGCGCGACAAA